TTTAAAAAAGAGCACAGTGGAAATGATCAGACACCCCTTGTAGAATATACATGTCTTACCTCTATTTCTTTATCGTGGTGTTCTCTCAGCTTCTAGATGACACTTTAACCTCACAGTCATCTTACAGTGGAGTGCCTTGGATATTGGATATTTTAATATTTATGTCACTCCCAGCTCTCAGTCAAGTCTAATGCTTGAACCTCATGAATAATTCGGCAAACTCCGAACCAGCAACAAATGGCAGTGTCAGAAATGTCTTCCTGTTCTGAAGGTTTTAGTGTCAAACTGTGAATTATTTACTGACGAGTCGCGCAAACATAAATGTACGAGGATCAGCCACGACATTAAACCCAGGTACCTTTTTTAACACTGTTGCTCATTGGTGTTTATTACATTTGTGCTGAACAACATTACCACACAGTAAACCTCGGGTTATTTAATAATCCACAATTAAGAGGAATTCACAGTTTGCATGGAGAGCATTTCAGCAGTTGCTAAATTCTAGTTCATTTTAAAAGCTCTTGGATATTTTTATAATGTGTTGCAATACCTTATATTTTACATAGTGATATATTTAGTTTAAATCTTGATGAAAAGTAACTAGTGCATAGAGCTGTCAAAATAAAGAGTATAGAGCTGGAAAGTAGACAAATCCTGCATCAAAAACAAAACAGAACCAAAACTACATACATTCAATGGTGCAGTGTGACATTCGTTGCAAATGAAGAATCAACTCTGTGGAGTGTGTATGTATTGAGTTCTTATCGGACCCGTTGCACATCCTTCAATTAAGTTTTGTAGAAATCCGTCTGGTAGTTTTTGTGTAATCTTGTTTACAAACAACAAACCAACAGACAGACGGGGGTGAAACCACATTTTTCCAGAGGTAATCATTTGCTCTAAACTGTGTTTGGCTCTGAGGCCTGAGGAAGTGTGAGCTTTGTGCTGTTTCACAACCATCTTGTGATGTTTGCTTCATTTCAACAGCTCATTGAATCTTGGTCTGAAACGCCTCCCTCGGGCACGTCTCTCTTATTTTTTGTTTTTACAGCGTCGGCCTTTTAATATCACCTGGTGTTAAATTTGCCCTGGAACATGTAACATGATGGTAACTGATAAAACAGTGGAGCTTTGGACCGGGGCATTGTTTTGATGGCCGGCAGCAGTCGGCCTGGTGTTGAGTCTTATGAAAGCACAGAGTCAGAGCAGAGTGGCTGTGAATTCTGTGAGAGGCCTTTCAGTGAGCTCATGGGAGGTGCCCTGCTCTCATTGTGTGGGTCACAGTCATTACTGATGTTGTCTTTTACCTTTACTTCACTGCTCTTCATTGAAAGCTGCTGTCGGAGTGTGTGTGTTTATTTTAAGCCCCAATTCATACACCGGCGTAACCAAAATGAGGATGTCTGTGATCGGTATCACCAGCTCGTCCCGCACATTTTGCTTTTGCCGAGCAACAGAGCCCAAATTGGAGATGAAAAGAAAGTTTTAATGCTCCTTTTTTAATGAGTATCTTAAGCTGTTTAATTGTGTTGAAGCCTGATGCTTAAGCACTGGAAGCACAATGAACCCTGGGATAGGTTGGGCTGGGAAGGATGGGAAGGACGCATTTATCAATTGAATTTGAAGGAGCCATTAAAATAGTTGCTAAACTAGTTGCTAGTTCTTCAGCTGCAGCCTCCGAAGGAATGCAGCCTCTGAATTTACACACAGTCCAGTGCAATATATTGACCAGCGAACATAACAGTGACATTAAATCAAGGTAGGGACAGATGTATACATTATGTTTTAGGCACAAACACATAAGAAACAAACGAGGCTGCATCGTAAACAACTCTCTGAGTCAATAACAGAGTTCTTGATACATGGCCCGGGGCTGGAGCCGGGAGAAGAGTGAACCTAATGGGTCGTCCTTTAACATGCATCGGAGGCCGAACACATGACCATGAGCTGCGTCCAAGTAAATTATTGATCTAAAAACAAGAAAAGACAAGGCGGCTCAAGCATTATATGGTTGAAGAGTATGGCAGGCGCTCTCACACACACACACACAAAGCTTCCTTTCACTGCAGTTTGAGAGAGTGAACGACTCCATTCTGGATACGACTGCTAAGAAATATGGGTCACGCTGCTGGGAAGGAATCAGCACAAATCTTTCACATTATTTGGCGAACGCGATGTGTTCGCACTGTGCTAATTACCATGGAGAAGCTCTGCTCCCTGAAACTCTGTTACATAATGGATTGCTCTCACACACACACACACACACA